CTTGTATTATTTCTGTCAATATCTTGTGCTTAACCATTACTTTAAGTTTCAAATTTGTCAGAGAAAAGTGATGTAAAAAAAAACAATGAATTAAAATTGAAAAAGGGAAGGAATGACAGATATTTTAAACAATGCATTCCGTTCTCTGATTTTCTCTTACTATCAAATCTTATAATCATGAAACACCTTCCCTCATCAGATCAAGTTCCCGGGCGATAAATCTTGCAAATGTTTCCTGCCAGATAACCTAAATAAAGCTATCTTAATTTTTTTTGCACCGCGGCAATCATTTCTGTCGTAAATGGAGAGACATTTTCCTTATATTTTTCACCGAGCCATTCAAAAAGTAACTTCATTATCAACGTCGACCGTTCAGTCGTAATCACCACGGCAAGGTATCACCATTTCCCGTAATGTCACTCACGGTTAGATGTTACTTTGGAAAATAACACGCCTTTTTTTCTGTCTTGACTTAATTGATGTACATTAGCTGCCCACTACGCGAAAGAAGGAGGTAGTGTTTTTTGGGATAAACTGAATTACCTTTAGACTTTTTATGACACTCCAAGTGATGAAGGAGAGAAATTTAACGCGATCTAAAAAGGCAAAACCTCTGAAACAACTGAAAGAAAGCGAAAAGGGTTGCTCACGATTTTCTTATTGCCTTTGTTTAACGTTTGTTTATTTTAATATTTTGTTCGTGTTCTGGTCTCATTTTTTTTCTACAAAAATATGCTAGAATACGTCTTTGCTGATAAAAGCAGGATTTGTTTTGATTTCCTGACCGGACTTAAGCCAAAAAACAATGCGTCTTCATGTATCCTTCAAAATGGCACGAGTCAAGGGGTGATAACTGCCTCGGCCTTTATTCCAATAGTTTGTATTATATTTTATTCCACAGCGCTAAGTAGAAGAGTCGAAAAGAAATGAAGAAACTGCTAATGAAAAGTCTGTTTAGAGTCTCACTGCTTTTTGCGTATGCCTTATTTGGAGGAGGCCTTTTCTACTGCATTGAGAAAAAGCCCGAAGACAATAGGGATGTTTATTTAAGACTCTCTCGAGAGCTGCAAACAAACTTTACAAACAGCTTCAATGTTTCTATAAAGGAGAACGATTTTAAAAGTTTCATCCATAGAGCTTTCGAAGTGGTCCAAGTTAGTCATAAGGCGGATTGGAGCTTCCTTAGTTCCCTCAGCTTTTCGCTGACAACGTTGGCGACTGTTGGTAAGTGACATTTGTTTCTGAAATAGCGTGTTAATAAGTTCTGGTAAATATCTTGCTCATAGAGTCACTGGATAGACACAGGTTATTATGTTTTCATTAAAATGGAAATCACTTTGATTGCTTGAAAACAGGAGCTTATGAAAACTCATGAAAGAACGCCATACCAGCGCAATTTATTATTATTTTTTTAATATTGAATTTTGGGCCGAAAAAAAAACCTCACCTGATTTAAATGCAAAGTGTTTTTCTGATGATCATTTGTAGCAATTTAAGGAGATGAGGTCGCTAGACTGGAATCTGTTTTTACCGTTGGCGTTGACAAATAGATAACATTTTCCTATAATAATGAGATGGTTTAAGGCCGAACAAAAACAAGAAGAGTGAAATATACTATATAAAAGATCTTAATCTGAAAGGTAGATTTTTTTCGTTGTGAATACTGTACTTGAGATGTTGGGAGAACGAGAGAAAACTGTAAACAAACTTTTGTCGTGTTCTCCAACATCTCAACTGGTTTATTTTAATGTGTGGTCTGTACAAGTAATCAATTGATTTCGAGTGCAATTTGGAATAGATCTGCCCGTGTAAATTTTTAAAGGCTAACCAAATTACGGGCTGGTGCAATTGTTTGTTTGTGAAAAATTGCACAAGAAAAATTACGTATTGCTAGTTAATAATATACAAGCAAAAATGTGACTGTTATCCCTTTGTTATTATTTGGTGTCATGGCTCACTAATTCGACCGCTTTCCTTTGCCTTATTTTTGTATGCGTTTTACTAACTGCTGGGTTACAAATTTAAAAAGATTTAAATGTTGATATTTCAATAGTCGGTATGGAGTGATAACGAATTATTAAACTTCCAGAACCCTGGTCCACGCGAAGGACTGTCCTCGTCGAAAGTAATGTTTGGCGATACAGCAGAGGGTAAAACTTCCGCACAGCCCCATGCTATTGTAAAACAAATCTGTTTTCTCAGTGGCAATGTATTTTTTTTGGCGTTGTTTTCTCTATCCAAGAACTGAATGCATAATGTAGTATGGGGCTGTGCGGAAATTTTACTCAGCAGAGTTATCTGAATGCGCATTTTTAGAGCTTATAATATTAGTTCGAGTGTGATTTAGTTGTTCAGGTGCTACATAACAAATTTAGAGAATTTGAAAGTTAATATTTCAAAATAGTCGTTATCACGTGATAACGAATTATTAAAGTTCTCGAACCCTGGTCCACGCGAAGGACTGTCCTCGTCGAAAGTAATGTCTAGCGATACAGCAGAGTTATGAGAATGTGCATTTCTTGAGGAAATAATATTATTTCGAGTGCAATTTGGTGTCATTAAACACGAGTAAATTTTTCAAAGGCAACAAAATTACACGAGTCTGCGCGGCAAGCGCAATTAGTAGTCTTATTATTCACACCAAATGACACGAGTGATCGTACTATTACCAAAGAATTTTAAAAATCGCTGAGTGCATTGTCGAGTTCTATAAGCACGCGGGAAGTTTTAAGAACATGAGAGAAGTGCGGAAAAGCACAAGCCGAAGACGATTGCTCCTCGTACTTCTCGAGTGTTCTTAAAAATTCCTAAGTACTTATATAACTCAACAATGCTTGACGCACAAGATTGTTTATTTCTTTTTTAATACGTATCGTGAATTGCGCGCGCTCGTACCGATGACGTAGCTGCGTGCATTATATCTCAACAGTGCACTCGTGTGACGTAAGGCGCGTGCTTTATGGAAATATAATGAACTCGTTCTCACCAATCACGGCGCGCACATTTCTCTGAACATTTTATAAACAGGGAATAATACATGCGCGCGCGTAGATATGGAATTTCTCTTCGAGTGTTTAACTCGATAGCTCACAAGTGAGTACAGCGAACGAGTGAGATGTCGAGTTGAACTCCATATCTGCGCGCGCCCATGTATTATTTTGTTTATCATATAAACACAATAGCCCTTTATTCTGCTTTGCTTTTAAAAACCCTAACAACACACGTGAAAAATATGATATTTTTTCACGTGTTGTTTGGGATTTTCTCAGGGCCGGAAATCCTTGTACAACACCGCAGTTTATGTGATAATTGTTAATAATTTATAACGGTAACTGAACTGAGTGGAGCGCAATTTGGACTGAAATCATACACGTGATTTCAAAATCGAACGATCGCGCAGTGTATGGAGCGTTATTAGGGTCAAATTTAGAAAACAAATTATGTTATGGTGTTTGATATTTCATTCGGCCGAACTACAGAATTATGTTCCAGCGTTGCATGGAATTATGTTCGGCTCTTTTAACTTGTGTTGGGAGTATTTCACTTATAACTAGGCTGGCAGTTTTTTTTGAGTTTAGTCCAATTTTGTTCGGCTCCTCCGAATTATGTTCGGAACGCGGCTACTCGAATTATGTTCGGCAAGTAGACTGGTAGCCTCGCGGTAAGAAATTCACGAGGAGTCCCGGGGCGAGAAACATTTCCCGCGCTCTCTATAATTTATTCTAATTATTACCAGTGTTCGTGTACTGTTCTGTCGAACATGGCGGACAACAAACGTGGAAGAGGCGATCGCGACGAAAACCAAGAAAATCGAAACGAATGCAAAAGTGCTAAAGCAATTAAACTTCTACGGGAAGTTACCTCGCTTCTCAGTGAGGGTGATAGCAAACCATATCAACCGGCAGCTGAACAGATTAGTCAAGCAAATGTTTCTCGCCCCGGGACTCCTCGTGAATTTCTTATCGCGAGGCTACCAGTCTACTTGCCGAACATAATTCGAGTAGCCGCGTTCCGAACATAATTCGGAGGAGCCGAACAAAATTGGACTAAAATCAAAAAAACATGCCAGCCTAGTTATAAGTGAAATACTCCCAACACAAGTTAAAAGAGCCGAACATAATTCCATGCAACGGTGGAACATAATTCTGTAGTTCGGCCGAATGAAATATCAAACACCATAACATAATTTGTTTTCTAAATTTGACCCTAATAACGCTCCATAGCAGTGCTCGTTCGATTTGAAATCAGAAGTATGATTTCAGTCCAAAATTGAACGAGAAGAGGTTCAATTACCTCTTTATTACATCCATTTTGAAACCGCCCAAATACAGGACTTGATCAGTTCAAATATTTTATTGATGCAGTACTGAGCCGATCTGAAATTAAATTCATGTTCATATTTTGGGGGGAAAAAGTAAGAGTTAAGAAACAAAACTTGCAAAATTGCCACATGATACTCTTTGTCTTTCATTTTCTTGCAATTTGATGGGTTACTTTAAAGAAGCCTTAGAATCTTAATGGTTGTTTTGTTTTTAGTTTAGCCTCCTCATTGGCTGGGAAAAAGATGCGATTTAAAGCAAAAAATGGTGCGATTCGTGAATAAATCGCATCAATTAGAACCGATCAGATTACAGGGACCACCAGTGATTTCAAAACGGGTGTAATAAACAAGAAAAAAGCATCACAGAAAGTCAAGACACAAAATTTTGACAGCGCGCGCGCTATTTGTAATTTGCACTCGTCTCACAGTGCACCCTGCCCGTGAAAACTAAATTTTTTTTACTCACATCATCTTGATTCATGCGAGTCTCTCTTGGTCAGTCAGTTCAATCTTATTGGAGCGTGATCAAAAAGCCTAAAATTAACATGAAATAAAAGAGGCCGTAAGGTTTCTTAACCATTTCACTTTGCCTCTTTTAGGTTATGGCCACATTACACCAGAGACTCCACTTGGACAAATCGTCACTGTTTTATACACCTTTCATGGTGTTCCTCTGACGATGCTAACTCTGAAAACAATGGGAAAAATGATTTCCAAACTGGTTTATGACTTCGTTTACGCAATCGAGACAAAGGTGCTCAGCAGGACACGACCTAAAAACGTTAAGAAGAAGAGTGTTTTTGTGACACTTGCCCTCATGATTCTGACCGTTTGTCTCGGTGGATTAGAAGGAATGTACGTGGAAGGCTGGACTTTTGTAGAAGCTTTTACGCATGGTTCGCTACACTTTCCACTCTGGGCTACGGTGACTACTTTCCCGGATGGATTGTACTTTTAAAAGTTGACGCTTCTTCAAATCCGAAATCTCAGTTAAATCTTGTTTTGATCATCTTTATTTCAGCCCTCTCAAGCATGCAAGCTGTGTGGTTGCTGGTTTTCCAAACTAGGAACAAAATTAGAGAAAAAATTCATTTTGGAAAATAAAACACAACATACACACAACAACAACAACATTACAAATGTTATATCATTTTGCTTGATTTTTATGAACGGGAGTCTGGACGTTTTCGTCGCAGATCACATGGGCCTGGAATATGAATCAAGGAATGATCCTCATTGTGAACTCAGAGTTGTTGGTGAACCTTTTGTAATGTCTGGAGCCTCCGTTGCTGTTAAAAAGAACAATTCTTTGTTTTTCCAAGTATAAGAGGCTCCTCAAAGAATTAAAGCTAAGGGACTGACGGACTTTATCCAAGAATTCTGGGCGTCAAAATATGAATGCCCGAGAGAAACTCCTCCAGCTCAACTTAAGGTAGAAGACCTAAGTGGACTCTTTTTGCAATTCACCATTGCAATGATCGGGTGCAGAGGATTTTTCTACAAATGAAAGAAAAGTGGACTAGAAAAAATAACGAGAATGTAGATGAACAGGATGCGAGGCAGGAATTTGCACAGACAGAAACGCTTGTGTGAGACAAGATTGTTTCCTGAGAATGTAATAGAGAGCTTTAGGATAGACGGAAAAGTCCATTTGTGAGTTTGGCGCATCATACAGTACAAAATGATCGCTATCATGTCGTGTCTGTGTCAGTATTGTAGAGGCGTAGAAACGTTACGGAATAGTCTGCAAGTATATCATTATTGGTCTCTTAGCCCTTGAAATAGCAAAGGTTGTTTGATGGACCAACGAAGTCGATCTTGTTACGCTTTCCATGATCCAGGAGCGAACCATTCTTCCATAATGGAGCTATAAGCTTCTGGCCTGCTCCATCTGCCCTTCATTCTACCTGGACTATTCAGTTGTAAAAAATGTTAAGCGCTTTCGAGCTTTTTTCCTTTATTATATGCATACCATCTGTTAGGACGAGCGAGATCAACTTTTCTTCACGTGTAGATGGTATTAGAAAAGCATTGTAACTAAAATGAATAGCCATGGCATAAAGAAATCTTGATGCATCGAGCATATATAATATTTTAAGGGGTCCATAAGTAACTGGATTCTTTTTTACCATTAGTCCCTAAACTTAGAATTGCTGTTTGAGTGAACCTGGCTTACACTTTCCCTAGAATGACATAACGGCATGAAGAAGAGGTCACTTTTTTCCATTGTCATAGACGTCTATGTTTGTGTTGAACTTTTGCTACTTGACTGTCATGCCTGCTTGTTCACACCACTAACATAATGATACAGCGATCTCTTTCAGTTGTTACGTCTTTGTGTTGCTAGTATGAACCACGGTTATGTCACTCTGTCAATCTTACTATTTTGCCCGTTTATCATTTCACCTTCATATTCACACAAATGTTATAACGACATGATAACCTTCGTTACGTTCATGTCATGTCTTGCAAGAACTGGTTTGAACCAAGAACTCCAACGGTTATATTGATTAGGTGGTTTGATCGTCCAGAGAGGATTGTTTTCGGTCACAAAGTATATACCACCAGGCGAGAGGTGGTTTTCGTGCAACCCGATTGGCTGGCAATGATGGGCAAGTTCTTTTCAAAGCTGGGCAGCTGAAGAGACAAAATCGCCCTTCGAGAGTTTAGTTTCAGACCATGTTTTTGGTGTATTGACAGAAATACAGTTATTTTTCGGTACTTGTGTGGTATATACGAAAACAATTATTTACCTCGGGGTCGTAAAAAGTGGTGGATCTTTACCTCACCTCTGCAGTAAAAGAAGTAACATGGACATTCAAGGATAGTTATCTTAATTCAGTAAAGTTGTCATTAGTAGAGCTACACAACAGGAATTAATTAATATCAAAACTAACACAGAATTTTTTTTTACCTTTCTGTAAAAACTGCAATCTATTAATGTCTCAGACCTCACTTCAAGAATGAAATTTTCAAGAAAGTAATTTAATCTCCTTTTGTAAAATGTGAGACAAACTCTATCATAAAAAATGCCTCACCGATACGAGAGAGAAAGATAAGACGAGTTAGGAATTCGGCTTGCTGAGGCGTTTTAGAAGCAAACAAACAAACAAAAATGAGTAAGAGATGATTAGTTTTATGTCCTCAAATAATTCACGGCCAGAAGAGATGCAATTAAAGTCAACGTCACTCTCTCGAGAACATTTTGTAAAAATTGGAATAAATGAAGATCTGTGGCGTTCCGGACTCTTAAGCCCCATATATATGGTCTCGGGTACCCGAGACAACCCTCGCCCTGAGACAACTTTGGGGAGGGTTTATGTGAAATTTAACATCTGCTGACCCTCGTTCAGCCAGGTTACATATTTGACAAAAGGGCGGACAACAGGAAGAAAATATCATAAAAATCCTGGTCATGGCTTGTGCACGCATTTTCTGTTCGAGTTGTCTCGTCTCGGGTCGGCGAGACAAGTTGTTTACATGTGGAAAAGTTGTCCCGCTTCACACACCCCCCCCCGTTTTCTCTTGTACCTGAGACGAGTTCATAACTTCATGTAAACGGTCGGCTGAATTTTTTAAAAGAAATAAGTGAAAAGTTAGCTCGCCGAGGGTAACTTGGGGGACAGGGTTGTCTGTGGTACCTGAGACTATGTAAATGGGGTCTTATTATGTAATAGGCAGCTTGCATCTTTAAAGACACAAACATTCTACAGAATTCGTCCTTTAACTGAAAACTGCGTTACTGAGATCGTTACGCTCGCTAGCTGCCAGGCTTAAACTAAAGTGTTAGAAGAAAGTTTATAACTTCCGAGCTTTGTGTCATGATCAGCAACAAATTCAAACCAAATTTCCATAAACGGAAACCTCACCAAAGAATAGACAAAAGCTGGTGGAATGGGACGTGGTATAAAACAGAACGGAACAATGTAAATCTATTGAGTTAATTTTTTTGGTGAAACCCCTACCGGGTAAAATTTGTGTGAAACTTTTGTGGGATAAATGCTTCCAAAGCTAAATGAATGTGGAAGTTCATTGATTGAGCGAGATTTTATTGGAAACTCTACATGGCGCGGAACGAATTCATTGGTCAGTTGTCACGCAATGATCCCCTTCTGCGTCAATATTTTTAGCTATGAGCGGTAAACAAATCATAGACCAATGAATGTTTTGTGCCGTACAAAAGCCATATTTGCTGATTTTAACAAACCTCCAAAGTAATAAACGACAGAAGGAAGAAACACTACGATTTTCCCATCAACATTTCGTCTACACGCATCTCTCTCAACGTGAAATTTTCCATTCCTTAAAAAAAAATCTCTAAAGTTGTTCACATTTCTTAGCTTCCTTAATCAATCATCGTGTATAACGAGCTATAACATATATAGGTTTATTTGCTCAATTGACCGCTTAGAGCCAGAATTACATGACAGGTGAAAGTAAACATTGAAACTAAACTTGCTGGAAAAAAAAAAATTTTAAAACTCTTCTTTTATACTTTATAAACTTTTCAGTGATAGATAGTTTTCCACGGTTTCTTTGAAAGTAGGGTGCGTAGAACGAGTTTTCCAAATGTTTTTCCCAAATTTTTCCTTGTTTCCTTACATTTCGATGTTGACTGCGCATTTTGTTGCATGTTTGTCGTCTTTACTTGAACTCCCTCGAAGAGGCCGTACAGCTCGTGATCATCAAGGCAGGCAAAGCGCTAGTTCCTCTTTTTCCTCCTTCTTGTTCCTCACAGGGAAGGGGGATGGTAGGCTAACCCCAGATCAAAACTTGGCAAGTTTTTCTCCAATTCCGATATTTATTATTTGTACTTGAAACTACTCTACGAGTATAAGGAAAACTTTGAGTTTGAAATGTTTTCAAATTGCCCCGGCAAACTTTCAAAGTATGACGTCCAAACAAACTGTTTTTACATACTCTCATTTAAACTAACTAATTGACCTATAAGAGCGTGCGAACTATCTCAATTATTTTATAACCATCATTAGTCATAAAAGTGTGACGTGCCAAACTGAAATACAGTCACTTCGCTTTTTGAGTAGTTTTGTCTTCAATCATGCAAATCACTCCCGCTAGAAAATGAAGAGTTCACGAAGACAATGAGTCGATTATCACGCGTTAAAAAAGAGAAACTTAGGTTGTACTGTAATCGATCTTGTGATGAAAATCAAACCTTTCAAAGGGGTATACACTAAAGCCTGACATTTCTTACTAAAAAAAGAATAAAACTTTTCATTTTTCATGTTCAATTACATCATGAGTGATGAAAGTGTGACGTACAAAACCGAAATACTGTGCACTTGTTGATCGAGCGGTAGGGCCGGACGGGAAAAATATTTGGCTTGGGATCATGACCTACGGACCGAGCGCAGCGAGGCCTTTTCTTCATGACCCCGAGCCAAATATTTTCCGCACTGGCCCCACCAAATTCGGTCAATAAGCATTTATTATATGACTACTAACTGATGAAAATTTCGACCTAAATAGGACGTGATAGACGGGCATACGGGCATACGGGCACGCAAAAAATGTGCAATCAAAACTTTTCCTTTTTATTTCGATTAGCCCAGAGGAGAGAAGGGAATAACATAAACACACGTGATCTGGATACCTAAAACACTGTGACAGCGGAAGTTCAGAAGGTTAGAAAAGTAATTCCTTATTTTTGTCGTTTCATTTTGAAAGTATCAGCCCCATTGTCAACAACTTGGTAAGTGCGATTGAAAATCTTTTCTAGTCACTCGGTTTTTATCAGCTTTTGTTATTTAGTAACTGTAAAGAGGTAAGGCTCTTATGGCAAAGCCCAGTAACTGCGTTTTTGATCTTTATGTTTGCAATATGTCACGTTTCGAGCGGTAGCCCTTCGTTAAATCGGTTGATGGCGCGATTGAATCGTCACCACGGTGAAATGTGGTTTTCCACTGGCTATGATCTGAAATGTAGCTGTTAACTTAACTTTGTTTTAGGAGGATTTAACGATCGATTCAGAGATCGCGGCAGATTCGAATTGAATTTCCATTTTCTACTTGTACACAAGCGTTTTATGGTCGAGATACCATTCCTTAAAAATTTTGGATACCAGCGGCGGGTTCTACGTTTCATATTTTTCTAAAGGCCGTAAGCGCCCGAGTCTCCCACAAGAAGATAAGTTATGACGCTGGATACTCACGAAGAGAGCTGTTTTAATTTTCCCAGAGGAACTGAAACTTTCTTAAATTCACTTTTATTGCATACATAGTATGCAAATAGCTTTTTTCAAACCGTTAAGGTTTTCTACAATATATTTCAACCTCATTAACTAAGATTGTTCAGCATTGTTTAATT